AGATCAAGATCAGCCTGGCCAACGTGGTGAAAGCGTGTCTCTACTAAAAATACAAAAATTAGCTGGGCATGATGGTGGGTGCCTGTAATTCCAGCTACTTGGGAGTCTGAAACAGAATCACTTGAACCCTGGAAGTGGAGGTTGCAGTGAACCTTAGTCATGCTACTGCACTCCAGCTTGAGCAACAGAGTGAGACTGTTTCAAAAAAATAAAATCATAAGACAAATCTACTTGATAATGTACCTTTTGCTTGACCTCAAGCTGTATAAAACCAATAAATTTTTATTGCTGCAGTAGTATTCTTATTTCACACAGTGATTTCATATTACATATGCAAAGTAGTTCAGCAACTGTTTCTTTGTTATAGAAGTTTCAACCTTTACTTTGTGCAGTAAAAACAAAAGTAGGCTATAGTCTGTGCCATGATAATGTATGGTTTTTGAAAATATTTCATAAGAGTTTGATAATAAAACCCTTAAACTTAAAAAAAAGAAAATTGTTTAATGTCTGAATCATACATCCTCATTTCTATTATTGTGAAATAATCTGCCTTTTATAATAGCTTTATAATTTAGCAATTAACTAAAATATGTAGACTGTTAATACCACTCTTAAAATGATTTCTAGGATTCTCATATTCAAACCAGAAGAGAATTACCAGTACTGTTTTTTGTTTTTTTTTTTAATAACTTAAAGGCTGAGTGCGGTGCCTCACACCTGTAATCCCAGCACCTTGGGAAGCTGAGGTGGGTGAATCATCTGAAGTCAGGAGTTTGAGACCAGCCTGACCTGCATGGTGAAACCCCATCTCTATTAAAAATACAAAAATTAGCTGGATGTGATGACAGGCACCTGTAATCCCAGCTACTCAGAAGGCTGAGGCAGGAGAATCACTTAAACCCTGGAAATAGAGGTTGCAGTGAGCCAAGATGACACCATTGTTTTTTTTTTTTTTTTTTTTTTTTTTTTTTTTTTTTTTTTTTTTTTTTTTTTTTTGTTTCCCTGTGCCTTTAAAAGTTATGCTTACTCTATACTGTAGTCTGTTAAGTGTGCAATTATATCTAAGAAAACAAAAACCTGTATTGCTAAAAAAATACTAATGATCATCTGAGCCTTAGCAAGTCCCAATCTTTTTGCTGGTGGAAGGTTTTACCTCCGTATTGATGCCTGCTGACTGATCAGGGTGGTGGTTGCTGACATTTGGGATAGCTGTAGCAGTTTCTTAAAATAAGACAACAATGAAGTTTGCTACATCAATTGGTTCTCCTTTTCATGAAACGATTTCTCTGTAGTATGCAATGCTGTTTGAGAACATTTTGCCCACGGTAGAACTTCTTTCAGAATTGAAGTGCAGTCGGACATGGTGGCTCATGCCTATCACTTTGGAAGGACAAGGTGGAAGGATTGCTTGAGGCCAGGAGTTTGAGATCAGCCTGAGCAACATAGCAAGACCCCTTCTCTGCAAAAAAAAAAAGAAAGAAAGAAAACTTTTTTAATCAGCCACTAGTAACACACACACTTATAGTCCCCAGCTACTTGGAAGGCTGAGGTGGCAGGATCACTTGAGCCCAGGAGGTCAGGGCTGCAGTGAGCTGTGATTACTCCACTGCACTCCAGTCTGGGCTACAGAGCAAAACTTTGTCTCAAAAAAAAATTTTTTTAAGTAAAATTGAACTGAATCTTCTTACCCTGCTGCTGTTTTAATCAACTAAGTTTATATATTCTAAATGCTTTGTTGTCATTTCAACAACTTTCACAGCCTCTTCACCAGGAGGAGATTTTATCTCAAGAAACCACTTTGTTTGCTCATCCATAAGAAGCAGTTCCTCATCCCCTCAAGTTTTAGTGTGAGATTGAAGCAATTCACTCACATCTTCAGGCTTCATTTCTAACTCTTTTTATTTCCACATCTGCAGTTCCTCCACTGAAGTTCTGAACCCCTCAGACTCATCCATGAGAGTTGGAACCAATGTTTTCAAACTTCTGTTAATGTTGCTGTTTTGACCTTCTCCCTTGAATCACGAATATCTAGTATCTAGAATGGTGAATTCTTTCCAGAAGATTCTTCTTTAATTCACACATGTCCATCAGAAAAATCACTATCTATAGCAGCTGGAGCCTTATGAAATGCATTGCCTAAATAGAATTGAAAGTTGAAATGACTCCTTGATCCATGGGCTGCAGAATGGATTTGTGTTAACAGTCATGAAAACCACATTAATCTCCCTGTTTCCATCAGCGCTCTTGGATAACTAGGTTCATTGTCAATGGGCAGTAATATTTTGAAAGAATCTTTTTTTCTGAGCAGTAGTTCTCAACAGTGTGTTTAAAATATTCAGTAAACCATGCTCTAAACAGATGTGCTGTCATCTAGGCTTTGTTGTTCCATTTTTTGGAGTATAAGCAGAGTAGATTTAACATGATTTTTAAGGGCCCCAGGATTTTCAGAATAGTAAATGAGCATTGGCTTCAGCCTAAATTACCAGTTACATTAGCCCCAAACAGAGTGTCACCGTATTTGAAGCTTTGGAGCCAGGCATTGTCTTCCCCGTTATAGCTATTAGAGTCCTAGGTGGCATCTTATTCCCAAACAAGGCTGTTTCATCTACATTGAAAATCTATCATTGAATGTAAACACGTTCTTTAGTTATCTTAGCTAGATCTTCTCAGTAATTTGCTGCAGCTTCTTAATCAGCACCTGTTGCCTCACCTTGCACTTTTACATTATAGAGATGGCTTCTTTCCTTAAATCTTCCAACTTTGTTTCTGCAGCTTCTTCACCTCTCAACCTTCATAGGACTGAAGACTTGAGTTAGGGCCTTGCTCTCTGGATTAGGCTTTGGCTTAAGGGAATGTTCTAGCTGGGTTGATCTCTCCAGACCACTAAAACTTTCTCCCTATTAGCAACAAGGCTGTTTTGCTTCCTTATCATTCATATGTTGACTAGAGTAGCACTTTTAATTTCTTTCAACAACTTAATTTCTTTACCTTCTCAGTTTGGGTAAATGTTTGTCACAAGAGGCCTAGCTTTCAACCTGTCTCTGCTTTTCAGCATGTCTTTCTCACTAACCTTAATCCTTTCTAGCTTTTGTTTTAAAGTGATAAGCATGCAACTCTTCCTTTCACTTGAACTGTTAGGAGCCATTGTAGGGTTATTAATTGGCCTAACTTCAATATTGTTGTGTCTCCGGGAATAGGCAGGCCCAAGGAAAGGGAGAGAGATGGGGCAACAGCCGGTCAGTGAAACAGAATACTCACATTTATTGATTTCACCGTCTCTTATGAGCGAAGTTCCTGGCTCCCCAAAAACTGTAAAAGGTTGAGCCAGGAGGATTGCTTGAGCCCAGGAGTTCAAGACCAGTCTGGGCAACATAGTGAGACCCCTGTCTCTACAAAAAATACAAAAAATTAGCTGGACATGGTGGCATGTGCCTGTAGTCTTACCTATGTGAGAGGCAAAGATGGCAGGCTCACCTAAGCCAGGAGATTGAGGCTGCAGTGAGCCGGCACTGGGCCACTGCATTCTAACCTGAGCAATAGATCATAACAGTAATAATTTTTTGAGTTTAACTGATGTGTTCCAAATACCTTGACATTTAATTAGTTTGACAAAATTAATTTATAGTTACAGAAATCAGATTGGTGGTAAAGTAACATGAGGGAACTACCTGGGTAGATGCAAACATTCTGTATATTTTGGTTGTTACATATGTGTATTCTTTTGTCAAAAGTCGTTGCTGTACAACTAAAATTTGTCAGTTCTTCAGTGAAGTTGTTTTTTTGTTTTTTAATACCCTTACTGCCAAAAAACAGTTGTAGGCACAGAGATTTAAAAATAAATGATCTAGCCTGAATGAAACTTTTAACTAGAATATTGTTAAAAGACATGCATGTATTTCGTTATCACTTAATTGACTAAAAAGTAGATTAAACCAGTCACAGGTTTTTAACTTGACAAATAAACAAATTTTACTGAGTGAAACATTGGCAACTAGACTAAAAATATAATTGTCTAGAAAAAGTTTTAAGATTTAGTTTTTTCTTACATTATATTAATACATTTATGAATTTTAAGATTAATGAACTTTTGTTGTGGACTTAGCTGAAATCAGTAAAGTAGCATTTGTCAGCCATGATAGAAATGCTTATTTTCTAATAAATGAAAATCACATAAAGTAAATGTTATGTTACAAATTACCATTATAAGCAGACCTGTTGGCTTACAAATGGTAAAACTTTCTTGCCCTTTTCCTGTATACATCATGATTGTCTTTTGAGTGCTTTAACTGAAGTACAGAGCCTGATAAAAAAAAAAATATTTTTCTAGAGGCAGTAATTAAGTACAACATAGCTGGAAATGTTAAGCTCGGTTTTAGACTACCTTTTTAGGAGCTGAGACATACCAAGTCTTTGCTGAATAAGTCTTAGTGTGCATATCCTTAAGTAATTCTACATGTGGTATTATACTGTGAGAAAATCCATAGTAGAGTATCTATAAATGTCAAGATTACCTTTAATAAAATATGTGATTAGGTGATGTGTTCAATATATTATTTGTAGAGAACTAATTTTTTATAACCTTACACAGAACTGAATATCATTTTCAGGTTTATTACTGAATACATAATCAGTTAGATGATAACATTTTTCTCCTGAATGTGTTCTTGCCCTTTAGTTTATCCTTTGAATTATGATTTATCATCTATTTTAGGATATGTAGGAATATTCATTAATTGACTGTATTGTGATTATGAAGTAAAACTAGTTGTAACAGTGTTGCAATTAGTAATTTTTTTTATAGTCTTGCAATTACCTCGCAGCATTTAATACTTGTTTAAAATGGTTTATATGAATTAAATCTGTACAACCAGGGGATAAAATGTAAACAACTGCACTATTAGGAAGATATTAAAGTAGAGGCTATATTTACAGTGTCGTCTTTCAAATCTAGCTATGCTGTAAACTGATGTTTGCTGTATGCTCCTCCTGATTTGAAATAGATGAAAGAAAATGAACCTATTATCACCATGGTTCACACAATGATTGAGAACTCGGCGCTAAGACCCCAACTGTACCAGCAAGTAAGGTCTTGGACAGTGAATGATACTGCTTTATCATCTGCAAAATCCCTCAGTGACAGTTTTGATTTATCCTCAGATTTACTCATGACATCAGTGTTTTTCTTATTTTATTTTTTGTTTATGTTTATTTGGAAAACCACAATTCATCCATGCTTTTCAAGATGCTGCAGTATTCTTAGCATGGCTTCGCTGAACATTTTGCTGTTGAATATTAAATGTGCCATTTTCCTAAAGTTTTTGTGCAGAGTATTTGATTGTTATGTACTTGGAGGTCTGCAGTACATTTGCAAAATTACTAGATTTCCATATGGTTTTATTAACTCTAAAAGCATATCTCATTTTTAGAGAAAAGGCTTTGTAAAAATATTTACTTTCAGGGGTAGCCCTCCACAGCTTCCTCCAACCTAGTGTTTAAATCTAGTTTCTGTACTATGTTATGGTAAAACTTAAAGGTAGCCACTTTTTAACATACTGGTGGGTATTTTCACCCAGTATTCTTAACCATTCTCAAGCAGTCCTCAAGACTATCATATCTTACCCTATTCTTTTTCCGAACTCAAAATATGTGTCTTGGAGTTGGCTGGCTTTAACTTAGGAACCTTAGTAATCTGCAGATCTGCAAAAGAAGTCATATACGTTTCTATCAAACTTTTGTGTATTCATGGTCTAAATGTTTCTAGCTATGTGTTTCTCAACATCAGCTTCTTCCACTTCAGCACCCTCAAATTACTCTGGCCTATGACCTGTTACAATCTTTTAAAAATCATGCAGAAGAAGAAAATTAACTAACATGAAAAATGAATATGTATTTTGATTAAAATATATAAGGCACCTAGTAAAAAGAAGGACTTTGAGCTCACACTGGCTTTTAAGGCCTCTATTTGGTTTAGTTGCCATGGGATCTGCATCACAGGGCCATGTAAATGAAGAATGGATACAGTTGATGAGAGGGTGACATATTTCAGTACAGTTTTCAAAATATTTAAAGTACATTATTAGATGACTGAAAATAGTCTCAAATTGTAATAAAGAGATCAACAAACTATTAAATATTTAAAGTTAAACAGCTTTACTTATCAAAAGGAAATGAACTCTTTCAATGCTTAAAGTCACCAGATTATAGGCCTTGGTACTTTATTCCTGAGTACCACACTGAGAGTCTTAACACTTATTCCAAATCTGATACCTTCTGCAATGCCTGATGCTGTCAGTAAAATATGTCATTTATATAATGTTAAATTGACATGCAGTCAAGGGATTTTGTTACAATATCACATTTTGCATATTTTAGATAAGAATGGTAGCCTAGATTTCCTCTTTGGTTTGGTTGGTTTTTCTGTTTTATAATGCTCAACATTCATGGTTCATGATAGATAAGTCTGATAGTTTAAATTATTCAGTTGCATTAAAAGTTCTCGTTGAGGTTTTCCCAAAATGTGCAGTTCTGAAATGGAAAGGACTGAAGAGGGGAGCAAAAAAAAAAAGATGTCTGAGACTGGCTCGGTTTGGCATCACTGACCTTGAATACTGAAAGAGCAATAGATTTGTATAAATATTCATATTAATACTTGAAAGAAAACTAAAATTGTACAGAACAGAAAAATCTGAATGTCTAATGTCAGCAGCCATGCCTGAGCATGGCTCAGCCACCACTTACCAGGAAATCATGTTAACTCTGAGTGCTATCAAGGCTAGGGAGTCTTCAGACTGTCTTATTTTTGTTCGGCCACTGGTAAAAAGGACTTAATTATTGCAGGGCATCCTTAATAGATTAAAGTGACAGCTTGACACATTTTTTAAGCTCTGTTTATAAATTTGCACAAATTGAAATTAGATTTTATTTTTTCTCCAGGTTTCCCTTAATCATGTTATTATCCAGGGAGAATCTTCATGAAAAAGTATAAATGTACTGCTACAGTTAGCTTTTCTGAGGTTGAATTACAATGTTGTATTAATACATTCTTGATATTTAACTAGAAACACAATGGCAAAATATTTTATAATGTATTTTATTCTGATTCATAGCCACTCAGTTTTTCTCTCAGGAGGACCTTTATGGAAATGTTTGCATTTTCTTCCTTGGAGAACATCCGAGAAATTACCTAGGAAATAATTTTCTTAAAATTGCTCAAATAAAAAAGACTGAATCCAGGCCAGGCGAGGTGGCTTATGCCTCTAGTCCCAGCAATTTGTGAAGCTTCAGCCCAGGAGTTTGAGACTAGCCTGGGCAACAAAGCAAGACCCTGTCTCTACAAAATATAAAAAAGTTAACCAGGCATGGTGACACACACCTGTAGTCGTAGCTACTCAGGAGGCTGAGACAGGAGTCCAAAGCTGCAATGAACTATAGTTAAAATTATACCACTGTGCTCCAGCCTGGGTGACAGAATGAGACACTCTTTTTTAAAAATAAATAAATAAAAGCATTCTAGCCCACCTTTCACAGTTACATTTTAGCACCATACGTTTTATAGCATGATTAATACCAGTGAAATTAATCACTTGATAAGTAATTTGTCCTAAAAGATGCAGTATCAACAAATGCCTACAGTCTTATGAGCATTTTTTGCTCTCCATGGATAATATCTAATATTATCAAATTTTAAAATATTTTCCTAAAAATCTTTTTTGGAGTTTATATATTATGTTCATATTCTTTAAAATATATATAGTCCACATACCTAAGGGATATTGATGTTGAATTTTAATTAACATAAATAACTAACTTAATGCCAAGACAGCTTTTTGTTTTTTTTTTTTTAAAGAAACTATCAGGTACTTTATTATGAAAAGCTTCTGGCATCCTAAATAAAATATAACACATGTCCTTATATAGTTAGTAAAATCTATATAACATACTCCTCAACCTGAAGTTGGAGCAATGCTCAAGTTTATGTAATTACTACATAGGCCATTTTTTCATTTGCTTTTCTACTGTTGCTAAGGTACTTCAAATGAAATATTCAAACCAAACCTTCCTTTTTTATTTTTATTTTTTTGCCAAAGTTATATTTGTAAAAATTGATAGTGTTACCATGAACTTAAATATGCAAAACTTGAGTTAACTAGAATGCTCATGAAATTTACATTTTTCTTATTAGTAGGATTTTCTTTTTTCTTCTTTTCTTTTTCTTTTTTGTTTCCTTTTTTTTTCTTTTTTCGTTTTTTTTTTTTTTTTNTGGTAGGGCAGGGGGTTGGGAGAATGTTGGTATGAGGGGTCAGCATTTTCATCTTGAGGACAAAATAGCAACCTTTTCAATCCTGTGAACGTGTTTGTTGTTTTTTTAAGGAATAATTTTGTTTTCTTATGCTTCTGTTGTAAAAGCAATGTGTGGCAAAACGTTTAAGAATTTGGTTAGTTGATGTTTAATGAATATCTTTATTGAATAATTTGATAAATGATTTAAAGAAATTTTTGGTGATACTAGAAGTAGAAATACCACAAAAATGTGTAACATGTTTATATGGCTATAAAGGATATATCACTCTAATGTAACTACAGTAGATATTTTTCTTTATTATGATATGCTAACTGATATAAAAATAAATCTGCAATAAGATTCCCTAAATAAAAATAGTATATTAATAACCTAAAGATTTACTGTAAATTACTAAGTTTTCACCTTAATATACCAGTCTTTTTTTCTGTTCACTCTGAGATACAGGGTATTGTTGATATTTTAATCTAGATGTAACACTGTCCACTAGTTATATTCAGATTCTGTGGTCTAGTAAAGCTGTTTTGCATTTAACTTTAAATATTAAGCAAACTACAGCTGGGTGCGATGGCTCACACCTGTAATCCCAGCACTTTGGGAGGCTGAGGTAGGTGGATCACCTGAGGTCAGGAGTTCGAGACCAGCCTGGCCAACCTGGTAATACCCCATCTCTATTAAAAATACAAAAATTAGCTGGGTAAGGTGGCCCACACTTATAATCCCACCTATTCTGGAGACTGAGGCAGAAGAATTGCTTGAACCCAGGAGGCAGAGGTTGCAGTGAGCCAAGATCATACCACTGCACTCCAAACTGGGCAACAGCAAGACTGTGTCTCAAAAAATAAAATAAATATTAAGAAAACTATATTTGAGCATCTTAGTAGCTTATGGCCTTTGGTCTTTAATTTGTTATAAATATGAAAAATGTAATTTTGACATTGTCTTACATTTTTTTTTTATCATGGATCTACCTATTTAAAACTTACTTTTTATTCCTTTTTTAATATAGGAATGTAAATTATTTTCTTAGATCTAGGTGCTTTAATATAGAATGATAGTTGACACTTCTCAGGGCACACCTGAGGATACTTATTTTAAATAGTGTAAGAGTATTCTAACTTTGGTGATTAAATTCATTTTTCATGTAATATTCATTTCTATAAAAGTTTTGTGGTTTAACAATCAGTGTGCATACCCTTAAATAGTCACAGATTCGTTTGCATGAGGTATGTGAAAGTAATGTCTTGAAATGAAACATGTAAATCCAGGATTTATTGTGTGTTTGGAATGCTTATATTTTTACCTTCTCCTGATTCCTACATTTCTAGATCAATTCAAAATTATCTCCTGTTTAAATTATGCCTCCTTTTAAAACTGTAACTGTCAAGCAGTTTCTTTCATAGAGAAAACATGCAGAATGGTCATTTATACTTTCTTATGTATTATGCATATATGAAATTTACTTTTTTTTTTAAATTTCTCTGCAAAGTATCCCCAAAGCATATATGAAATTTTATTTTTTAAACTGGAATATAGTTGGGACACATTATTTCTAACCGTACCTTGAAAAAAATTGGTGCCATTTAGCAAACATGCAATGAGCCCCATTTAAATTTATTCTACTATATTTTCGTTACTTTCTCACCATCAATATAAAAATCAAAAGACAATAAAAATAATGAAGTATTGCCTGCAGAGGCTATGATTTAACTAACTGGGATGGCCATTGAAATCTTGCTAAGCACGATCAGAAGTAAGGATTTGTTTAGCCAAAAGATACTGGGAAGAAGCTAAGTACATTGAATAATTTCTTAAAATATAATAACGCAAATGGTGTCAACTAACACACATAAATTTGAAAATTGACTATCCATAGTTCATAACAGGCTTTCAGTTTTATGAGGTTTTGAATGATTTTCCTCTTTTCAATTAAACCCATCCTTTTCCTTCATTATCTTTTAGTTCTTAAGACAGAAGAACAAGATAAGTCTATATTGTGTATGTGTGCTTTATATTATGTATATGTATACAATATGTTATAGGTTTTGTTAAATAAGGTGTGTTGACATTTGAGTGTACACATATACAGTGTGTGATTATGTGTATACTGTGAAGGATGGTTTTGACTGTTGAACTATGCTTGATTCAAATATTTGATTTGATACAGTTGCTATGATTGTATTTGTCAATTTTTTTATTAAAATAATGTGTGTCTTTAAAACCAAGAATGTAAGGTACTGTATTAGTTTTGTTTGACCAGCATATTATTATGTTTAACAAGCTTGCTACATACATCGTTCTCATGTATCTTGCATATTATATCTCTGTTAAATATTTTTCTACTTTGTTGATCTGTGTTTGAATTAAACTTCTAAAAGTATGAGAATCATTACAATCTACTTTTGTTATATTGCCATATATATTTGATATAAATCTAAAATATAGGCTAAATATATTTTTAAATAAGATTTTTTAAGTTGCTATATGATTTTTTTCTTATAGCTGTCACAAGATGAAGGTAGAGGCACATTATACAAATACAGACCTGAAGAAGTAGATATTGATGTAAGTATTAGTATGATATATATTGTCAGTACTCTGTCATATTCTCTGCCAAAAACACTGGAAATAAGCATGACCAAAAAACTTCTTTCTCCCAAGTCCTCCAAAATGACATCAGATAAATTTATATTGTGTGTGTGTGTGTGTGCTCTAATTATTCCCTGCCCTCTACGTTCCACTACTCCCTGTTGTTAGCAGTTGAACATATTAAGCATCACTTACATGAAAGTAAAAACTGTTCTGATTTTTAAAAGTTAGAGAATGGCTGGGTACAGTGGCTTGTACCTGTAGTCCCAGCACTTTGGGAAGCTGAGGAGGGTGGATCACTTGAGGCCGGGAGTTTGAGACCAGCCTGGGCAACATAGCAAGACCCTGTCTCTACTAAAAATATCTAAATTAGCTGGGCATGGTGGCGAACGCTTGTAATCCCAGCTACTCTGGAGGCTTTACCATGAGAATCTCCTGAACCCAGCAGGGAGAGGTTGCAGTGAGCTGAGATCGTGATACTGCACTCCAGCCTGGTAATGGAATTAGACCTTGCCTTAAAAAAAAAAAAAAAGTTATAGAAGACTGGAGGCGAAGAAGAATTGCCGTGTTTTTTGGATAAAGTATCAGCCTTTAGACATTTTATCACTACTTCCTTTTAAATTAAATTTCATTTATTTTATGTCATATTTTATTTGCCACACATTCTTCCCTGATTTGCCACACATTCTTCCCTCATTATTTCCCCTGATTTTATTCCATTGAGTTGTACTCCCTTTGTTTTGTTTTGTTTGAGTCAGGGTCTCTCGCTGTCACCCAGGTTGAGTGCAGTGTCATGATCTCAGCTTACTGCACCCTCCGCCTCCCGGGTTCAGGTGATTGTTGTACCTCAGACACCCAAATAGCTGGGTCTGTAGGAGCACACCACCACACCCAGCTAACTTTTTGTATTTTTTTTTTCTAGTAGAGTCAGGGCTTCGCCAAGTTAGCCAGGCTGGTCTCAACCTCCTGACTTCAGGTGGTCCACCTATCTTGGCTTCCCAAAGTGCTGGGATTACAGGGGTGAGCCACCAAGCCCAGCCCTGCCTTTTTCTTTTTAACACCTTTCATTTGTGTAACCTGAGTCTTGTTGTCTGACAAAGATAAGGTAGTTATTTTAATAGATAAATGGCAAAGAAGGTAAAGTCTCAAATTTCTTCCTTTTGTGTCATTATGCCATAAAGTTCCATTTCCAATTTGTCCAGTGTTTTCATTTTGAAACATTAAAACTGGTTTATTGTGCTATTAAAATGTTATTAGAGTACTTTCTTATACTTTCATAGTTAAGAAATTAGGGAGAAATTAGGGTAGTATTAAGAATTTAAAACATTAAAAACTGATGAACTTTATTTTTCTCCATTAATAATATTTTTATTTATATTTCGGTTAGAAGTGTTCTATTGTGGCCGGGCGCGGTGGCTCAAGCCTGTAATCCCAGCACTTTGGGAGGCCGAGGTGGGTGGATCACGAGGTCAAGAGATCGAGACCATCCTGGTCAACATGGTGAA